CCCCCCCCCCAGTAATCTCATGAGTTTTAGAAGAGACCTCCAAAATATCTCAAACCTTTTTCATATCTCTGTAGTCTTACTGTATGCCAAGAATTGCCTTGTTTGCTTCTATTTTTTATTTATTTATTTGTTTCCAAGGATGAATAATACATGATTGCGATCTCCAGTAAATTTCCCAAGTTTTGAAACAGCAACCTCTGATCAGTGAATTTTTCCTCAAGGCTCTTAAAAATTAAGATGGCAATGCAATGGCAGACAGGTTTTACATCCGAGAACTTTGTACGTTCCACTTTTTATTTTTTTAGAAAATCATCTATTTGCTGCTGCTGTAAAGAGCCCAGTAACAACACTGATTTGAAGAGCTGAACATCCTAATACATTTTATTTTTTAAAGTGTGGAGTAAACAATGCCATATCATGTACCACCCACATATTTAATGATCTCCAGAAGCATGAAGTAGGTTTTAGCTCACAGATTTTTCTTGTCACAGCCTGTTGCGCTGTGTGCAGCCATAGCTTTCATGGGTTTTCGTCAGCAGTTATTTGGCTAACACACACTTTCATTAGTTGTGTAAGGGACTCGCCAGATATGTATATATTTAGACCTGCTCAAAAACAACTGAACAAAATTTTTGTTGACCACAAACGATATACAATATCAGGTATTTGTATGCCATGTGTTAATACAGTATATACAATAAAAAGATTCAAGTTAAAGGTGTGGTTCATTGCGATTTCACTTTTTTAACGTTAGTTAGTGTGTAATGTTGCTGTTTGAGCAAAAACAATATCTGCAAAGTTACGAAGCTGAAAGTTCAATGCAAACGGAGATATCGTCTTTTAAAATTCTGGCAGTTTAATGCCTACAAAAACGGCTGGTAGGGACTACAACGAGTGCGGTTGCCGTACTGTATTAAAGCTTTAATCTGGATAAAACCGTATATTAAAAGCTAACATAAGCAGTAGCATTTACAAATAACAGCGTATCTAAAAGTATGAGACAACAACAAGCAAAAAACATAGGCCTACCATTAAAAGCCGTGCTTGCACAGGTTCTGCACGATCCTCTTCAATAATATCCTCTGCTTCTCAATCGGGCTCAAACTGATAAGCGATATTAACGATGCCGTTGTTTACAATACAACCGGAGCACATGCCGCTGAGGTGAGGGGCGGGACGCTTAGACGCGCACTAGAGACGGTTTAGCCAATCATAACACACTGGGCTAGCTAACCAATCAGAGCCCATCGCCTATTTCTGAGGGCGGGGCTTCATAAAAGAAGGAAATGATCAGGGTGTTTCTCAGAGAAGGGACAGAGAGGTGTGGAATAAAGGTAAATTATGTGAAAAATAATGCGTTTTTTTAAAAAAAACGAAGCATTAACACATGTTAGACTGCACCCCATAAACACAATCAAGCCTAGAAAAAACCCAGTGAACCACCCCTTTAAAGATTTGGTGAAGCAAACTCATCAAGACCTGATTGTCCACAAAATGCCATAGTTGCAATAAAACTGGTGTTAGCCAACACCACGCATAGAAACTAGGCAAATTGGCAGAACGATTGCAAAAGCATCTTAAGACTTTTTTTTTCATTCTACAGTATAATAACAATAATTGTAGTTACTATGGTGATTATGCAGACACTTTGGTTATCAAGGTCAATATAAACAATTCTTTGAGTCTTTGAAAGATAGAGGTTTGCTTGTGTACTGGTCTCTGTGTGTGCATGCATCTGGTTTATAATGAAAACTCTTTAGGCTTATATGTATCATTAGCTTAAATGTGTGGATTATTTACATTGTGATTTAAGTTAAAAGGCATGCCCTGAAACCATCATCATATGGCTGAGCTGAGATTAAATGCAGCCATGTTCATAAATAAACACCATCAATCCTGATCGACAGAACAAATGTTCGCAGTATGGAAATGATTTTTACTGATAAACACACCTTAAAATAATTTGTAAACTGAACGCTTCTTTTAAATTGTGTTCATGAGGTGCACAAGCACAATAATTAGGGCATGCATGTGTGATTTATAGCTCATCAGTCAATCTGTCAGCATGATGTCTTTGTTTGTCTTGCTGGCGTTGTTCGTCTAGTCTAGCTGCACTTTAAACGCATTGCTCCTGTTTGCTCCGGTGCAGTGTTTGTGTGTGATTGACAGAGAGAAAGCGAGAGAGCACTCTCTGTTTAAATACTTTAACTGCACCTCCCTCCATTTCTTATTGTTCTCAGCTTTTTGTGAATGACAGTTCCTTCAGGCAGAGAATGCTGTCTGTCTCTCGGCTTCTCACCGTCTCTGCTTGTCTGTCAATTCTGAGCAGCTTCCATCAACCCCTTTCTTTTACTTCTGTCCGTGTCACGTAAGACACACATTTACCTATAGTTATCAGCAGCATAGGAATCCAATGCTTTATATATATTCTGTATATATATACAGTATATAAATATATATATATAAAATAATAAAATAAAAACACCATGTATGACGGAAATTATGAAAATGACGTATTACCAGACTGAGCTACCTTCTGCAGCCAATTTGTTTCAAACTGCACATCCTGTACCACCTGACAGAGGAAACGGAGCAGGTAATACAATAGTGAAGTTCACTGCAGATGGTATAATTCATGGAGAGGAGCTACATAATTCATGCAGAAGTTGTGTAGAAGTGTTCTCCATATGTGCTGGCAGTCTGCACCGGGCCCTTGTTAATACTTTACTGCTGCCGCATCCGCAGTGCATTTAGATTGATTATTTGTGAGAAAGATGGTGAGAAATAGAGAAAAGGAA